CCACGAATTTCAAGTTGGGAGATTTCAACAGCGCCAAGCAGATTGGGAATCACGACGAGTTGGGCAGCGTAATGCTTACCAATCGTGGCACCGCGTGTTACACCGCCCCAGAGATCCATGCTGGACATATGTGGAATGAGCGTGTCGACATCTGGTCCGCGGGGCTCAGCATTCACTCAAGAGGCCCACGCCATTTCGCCGACCCCCAGATGAGGAGATGTGCGGCTTCCGACTTCGCGCATGCCTTTTGCCGTGCCCTGTCGTGATGTTTGCTTGTACGTAGCCTGTTCCTGGTTTGAGCTGACGACGACGACGACGACGACGACGGCGACGACGACGACGACGACGACGGCGGCGGCGACGACGACGACAACGGCGACGACGACGACGACGACGACGACGACGACGATGACGACGACGGCGACGACGACGACGACGACGACGACGACGACGACGATGGCGACTGCGACGGCTACGGCGACGGCGACGGCGACGGCGACGGCAACGCCGCCGCCGAGGGGCTTCTTATGGGACCTCCTGCGGGCCTCGGGGCGCGGCCTCTCGGCCCCAGCCTCTCGCGGCTCCCGGGCGTTTCTCTTTTGGGGGGGGGGCGGGGGGCCTCCTCGGGGTCCTCTCGGGGGCCCTCCTCCTCCTCCTCCTCCTCCTCCTCCTCCTCCTCCTCCTCCTCCTCCTCGGCATGGTCGCCATCCCGTTGTGTGGCAAGTATGCTCGCTCGCTCGCTCGTGCGGCACTGCAAGCTGTCGAAATGCCCCTCGGTGATCAGCGCCGAAGGTGGCCCCGCCCTCCACGGCGGTAGGTGGGGAAGAGACACGCGGTCCCCCAGACGCTCCAACCTCCTCCTCGGCATGGGCATGTCGTGCGCCTTGGGGGCCATCTAGGGGGGGGCGGGGGGGGCGGGGCCCCGCGCAGTGAGATCAGTTTTTCGATTCTAGCTCGAGTAGCCGAGCCCAGGTCTCCAGAGGTGGGAAAGCGAACTTTCATGGTCCTACCCGCGTTCACGCACAGGCAGAGCTCCGAGCCCATTCGAAGTCCCTCTTGGGTCTCTCGGGACTCGCTCGCGGCCCTCTTGAGGGCATTTTTGGTTGCCTTGGGCGCCTCTTGTGCAGTCTCGGGGCCCGCCCTCTTCGGGTCTTCTTCGAGGCGTCTTCGGCCCTCTTGGGCCACTCTGGGATGCTTCTCGGGCCGTCTCGGGGTTCAGAACCCCGAGTAGCGAGAACGAACAAAGCAAGCAAGCGCCTGATGCAAAACAATGGATTCGGCATCTCGAGACAACCTTGTGGGTCCTCTCGGCGCCTCTTTGGACGTCCTCCAGGCCTCCTTGCCCATCTTGAGGTCATCTGGGATGTCCCGGAGGCCTCGCCAGTGCGCAGGATCTTACAGGGTATACAGTCGGGGCCCTGAAGAAGGAACCCTTCTCGTTGGGGAGGGGCTCCGCGTTCCTTAAGTGTTTCGCAGCTTGCCTCAGGTTTTCCTTATGTTTTCGATCGGAAATGGAAGTTTAACTCATGAAAAAAAGGGGCCTCGTTCCTTATTTTGGGTTCCTTAGGTCAAGCCCCCGACTGTATCGGGCACCTCGTGTGCCGCGGTGGGTGGATTTGGAGGCCCCGAGGGCCAGGGAGGTGCGCCGGGGAGCTCGCGCCCCTCTTCTCCCACGGGCCCCTCCTCCATCGGGACTGCAGACCCCAGGGGAGTGGAAGAGGGAGGGGGGGCAGCCAAATGGCTCACACGCCTGTTCCCCCCCGGCATGCGGGGTCGGCGGGCTTCATGCGGCGCGGGCGGCTGCCCTTCGACTTAGAGAGGGCAAGGGTGCGCAATGCCCTGGCGCGCGGCGAGGCACCGTCGATGGACCTCTCCGAGCTCGGGAGTCTCATGAGCAGCCTCGTGCGGCAGTGCCTGGAGCCCAACCCCCGCGACCGGCCGCCAGCGGTGGAGCTCCTGGCGCACCCGGTGTTCCGCGAGAGCCCCACGCTCGCTGTCGGCCCGACGGCCCACACGGACGACCTGGTCCCAGCTTGTGGTTTGGTCCGGAGGTTGCTGGGCGCAGAGGCGGTCGGAATGACCAGAGGACCTCGGGACGCTCGAAAGGGGTAATTACGGGAAGAGTGGGTACGATGCCCAACAGCACTTCTTTCTCCTTCTGAACAGGACTCGTTGTCCACGCCGCCGCAGACGCTGTTCACTGAAGACAGAAAGCCGCCTGCCCAACAGCGGCCGCTGTCGGTGTTTAACAACATTTGTTGATGGGCATTGTTCGGCGGCGAGCGACGGGGTGAAGTGAGAAGGAGAAAGCCTTCTCAGAAGGTTCAGAAGTCCCCCGGCCCTCTGAGAAGCTTTCTAAGCCTTCCCCGACGACGAAGAGAACCTCTCGGAAGCCGCGAGGGCTTCTGAGAAGTCCCGCCGCCTCCTGAAAAGGCCTTCTCATTCTCATTCCCCCCCCCCTCGCTCGCCGCCGAACTGTGCCCATGTTTTCCGTACCCCTTCCGGGCGCCAAGAGGATCGGCCGCGAGCATCCCGATCCGGAAGGTCCTCACGTCCCCAGAGGCCGGGCGCGAGCAGGGGCCCCTCTGGTGCCGCCTCGCGGAGCGGCGCTTCGCTCGGGACGCCGCCGGGAGGTCCGGCGCGCTTCGCCGCCGCAGGTCCGTGGGCTGACCTCGTGCGGCGCCGGGCAGGCCAGAGGGTCTCAGGTCCTGTTGTAACGCACCGGGTCGATGCTCTGAGGACAGTGTTTTCGTGATTGCACCATGTTCGGGTTCGAAGAACACGTCGTGGTAGGCCTACAGGAATGCCGGGACGGTCGGTCCCTGCGCAACCAGAGGGGCGCCGGAGGCGGATATGGGCACGGCGGGAGGTGCAGCGGTGGCATCAGCTCCTCTGCTGAGGCCGCGGTTCACCTGCTCGCGCGGGGGCCGCAGGGGCGGATCTGTCGATGGGCAGTTCTCCACGGCTCACTGGCTCGCTCCCCCCGCATCAGATGTGATGAGCAGGCTGTGTGCGAGTGGGCCCCGGAGTGGCACCAGCGCGCTCTCGCGCCCCGGTGCGTTATACAGAAGTCGCCAGAGGCGGATGGGCACGGCGGAGGATGCAGTGGTGGCATCAGCTCCTCTGCTGAGGCCGCGGTTCACCTGCTCGCGCAGGGGCTGCAGGGGCAGATCTGTCGATGGTCACTTCTCCACAGCTCACTTGCTCGTTCCCCGGCATCAGGTGTGATGAGCAGGCGTTGTGCGATAGCATTGTCCCATACAGATGGTGTGTGAGAGAGAGAGAGCGCGTGTGTGTGTGTGTTTGTGCTGTGACATGGCATTAGTTGGTTTCCAAGCGTAGGGCCAAATATTCGGTTAAGATCCTCCTGCTTGCATTCCTATCCGTATTTCATTCCACTGTTGGATGATCGAGTTGTTGTACTGATAGCTGTCGCTTTCCATGCCCTGAGCTGTTGCTTGGCAGATCTACTTTACTTATCCTGCGTGGGTCGTTGACATGAGAAGTGGGGCATGATGTATATGTGCACCCTCTTCTAGTGTCACGCCCAGCTTTCGCTGCCTGTTCGTCGCGGACGTTCTCCACCCTGTTGGGGGTATTTCCATCTTCCCAGGAGGCGGAGGTAGAATGTAAATTGCTCCCCGGCGGCGCGTTTAGGAGGTACTCTCCGTTGTTTCACGGCTGCCCTTCTGAGTGGATGTGTCGCTGCAGTAGTACAAGGGGCGTCCAAAGTATAGCCGGAGCCCAGTAATTATCCCTTCGCAGCGTTTTCACAGCCCGGGTGGCTCCAACGACTGCTCGCGCGTCCTCCGAATCATCGTCGTGTTCTTGCTTCTGATCGGCTTGCACCCCCGTCGTCATCATGACCGGCGTCGTCGCATTCGTCGTCGTGGTTGTCGTCCTCCTCCTCCTCCGCGTCATTATCTTTCTCACCCTTCCCCCTCCCAAACCATCTCCTCCGACATACCCCGTCTCCCCTCTTGCCGTTCTTCCTCCTCCTAATGTTTCTTCGTCTTCATCCCTTTCCTCTTTCTCCGCCTCACGCTTCTGATACTGCCCGTCCTCTCGGTCCTTCTCGCCCCTCTTCGTCCTACTGGTTGTCCTCCTCACCCCCCTACTCCTCCCCTCGCTGGAGATGGGCTAAACCTGCCCTCCGGCATGGCGCTCCCGCCCGAGACTTCCTCAGACATGATCCAGGAATCATGCTCCCGCCTCGACGCCGGCTGCTTGCCTGCTCCCTCGTGCCAGGAGCACGCTTCCTTAGCACAGGCGCGAGCAGATTCATACATCGGGCCTGTGCCTCCCTCCTCCCCTCATCTCTCTTCTTCTGCCTCCTCCCCCATTCTCCCTCCCTCCCCCTCCTCCTCCCCCTCCCCCCCCCCCTCCTTCCCCTCCTTCCCCTCCTCCCCCATCATCCTCCCCCTCCTCCTCCCAATCCACCCCTCCTTCCCATCCTCATCTCCCTCCCTCTTCCCAGCCCCCTCCTCCCCATCCTCCCTGCCCCTGCACTCCTCGCCACGCTCACGCTCTGGCTCGAGCTGTCCCCACAGCTTGTCCACTCCAGCACTCTGCTCCCGTTTCTTCACGAATTATTTTGTGATTCGCTTTGCACGTGACCCAGGAGTCTTGCTCTATCCTCGGCGCTGTGCACTTCTTCACTCGGGCTAGGCTGGGACGATTGGACCCCCTGCTGGAGCACACTTCGATAACAAAAGTGGAGTCTAAATGATTGTTTCGGTCAGGCCTCGTCTGCCGCATCCCTTCTTCCTCCCGGAGCCCACTGTGGCGAGGATGTCTCAGGTGAAACGGTCTGGACTACCTCGCACGCGGCATCTTGGAGTCCAGAGTTGCGAGGAGGTCTGAGGCGACACAGGCTGGACCACCTCGCGTGCAGAATCTCGGAAAGCAAAGTGGTGAGGATGTCTCAGGCGAAACAGGCTGGACCACATGAGGTCAGGGCATCTCTGTGCCCAGACCTGCGAGCAAGTCCCAGGCGAAGCGGGCCAGACCGTCTCAGGTCAGGGCATATTTGACCCCTTCGGTGCCCGGACACAAAGTGTCCACACTCATGGCGGGAAGGCGATGTAACATGATAGCAACCACAACTCCGAAATGCCCTCACTTCGCACCCCTCCCCCCGAAACCCAAAGTTGAAGTCTCCACATTTTGTCCCTGGCCTTTGGCCTACCACCATAACCCGTCAACTTTGAATGTAGGGGAAGGGGGGTATACATGTTGGTCTGACGTACTTGAATGACTCAAGGTCTTGGCGAGACACGTGTGGACACTTTTAGTCCACCCACCGTGGCGACGATGTCTCAAGCGAAACAAGTCCGACCACCTCTCACGCGGCATCTTTTACCTCAGAGTTGCGAGGATGTCTCAGGCGAAACGGGCTGGACCCCCTCAGCTCAGGGCATCTCTGAGCCTGAAGTTGCGAGGGTGTCCTGCGAAACGGGCCAGACCACCTCCTGCGCGGCATCTCGGAGCTCGGAGTTGCGAGGGTGCTTCAGACGGAACGGACCAGACCTCTTCTCTTCTTTCGCGGCATGTCGGAGTCCAGAGTCGTCATGGCTCTCTCGCGCGCGCGACTCGCAAAATGTTTCAAAAAACGATGCATCCACTACGTCAAGGACCTGACCAGTGCAAAATCATGCCAAGAAACACCCTGCTTGCCTCCAGGGCGCCCTGGGTTTCGTGGGTTTTGATGGTCTTGCTATGGAGAGCGCGGCGCTCCCACACCAAAAATCAGTGGACGCCCTGGCGTCTCAGGGTTGGGTTTCTGGTGGAAGGCTTCTTGTGGTCGAGCTCCCACTGCACGTCAGTGCCCTGACCTCCCCAACTGCAGGATCAGGACGACCGACGACGACGAGGGCCCGAGCACGGAGGGGGAACGCACGGCAAAAGAAACCACGCACCACAGCTGTAGCGCAAAACCGCGCAAAAATCGCGAGGGGTACAGGGGGGGCGAGGAGGGGACATGAGGGGACCAGGAGAACCCGTACATCCAGGGCCTCACGCCTTCTCCTCCTCCTCCTCCTCCTCCTCCTCCTCCTCCTCCTCCTCCGCCTCCGCCTCCGCCTCCGCCTCCGCCTCCTCCTCCGCCTCCTCCTCACCCTCCTCCGCCTCCTCATCCTTTTCCTCCTCCTCCTCCTCCTCCTCCTCCTCCTCCTCCTCCTCGAATAGCCCGAGTGGGAGGCCACCCCCTCGGCGCGAGGAGCTGGGCGTGGAGGCCTTCGAGGCGGAGTGCAGGGAGCGGGCGGCAGCTCGGGAGGCCGTCGCTGCCTCGGGCCAGCCCTCCAGGCGCCAGGGACGATGGGGGGGGGGGCACAGGGGAGGAGAGGGGCCTCCTCCTCCTCCTCCTCCTCCTCCTCCTCCTCCTCCTCCTCCTCCTCCTCGCTCCTCCTCATCGGCCCACAGGGCGAGCGGGAAGGCCTGCCGGCCAGCCGCCCACAAGGGGGTCGGGGCGATCGAAACGGGCACGGAAAGGGGGAGTGCAAAGACCGACATCAAGCAGTGACGAAGCGTCCTGGCTCGCCTATAGCCCCACCAAACAATGTTCTAAGAACCTTTTTTTGTGGTTTCCACGAAATGTTCTTAGAACATTTCTGGCGGAGCCTGTCTTGTTTTATCACATCGGGTTTATGTTCTAAGAACTTTGTCTTTGTTCTTAGAACATTTTTGGGTTCTAAGAACACTTCGTGGTAGGACTATAGGAATGCCGGGACGGTCGGTCCCTGCTCAACGACAGTAGTTCCCGCCCATTCTGAGCAGGAATCGTTGTCGGTGTCGCCGCGGACGTGGTCCATTCGAGGCAGAAGGCCGCCCAGAATGAAAATGAACAGGCGCTACCTGTCCTCTGGGCCCGAGGAGACGCGTCGAATCCCCCAGGGCGGACGCTATTGTCGCCCCCAGAGCGCACTGATCGCCTGGATTGCGAAGCTACACAGGACAGGCCAGGTGGGACGAGGTGTCCCCTACCGTCTCGGGGAGCCTGCCCAATAGCGGCCGCCTGCCCAATAGCGGCCGCTGTCGTCTCAGACAACGCTTGTTGCTGGGCATCGTGCCCCTCTTTGTTCCGTACCCATTTCGGGCGTCCAAACAGAACCTTCTTCACCGCCACGTCCTCCTCCCCCTCCTCCTCCTCCTCCTCCTCCTCCTCCACCACCTCCGCCGCCCTCCTCCTCCCCCCCTCACCAGGAGAGATCGTCAAGAATGGTTTTAAACATAGTCTGGTGACGACTGCGTGTGCTCTTGCTTACTTGTTTAAATATGTTTGACGATGTTTACGTTGTCTTCCAAGGTCCGCCTGTAGGATGACATGTCCGACCTAACCACAGGGGGCTTCTCGGAAGGCCGGAGAGCCTCTGAGACGTCCCAGCGCAGGAGACGCCGCCCGGGGGGGCCCAGCGCAGATCCAAGAAATCCGCGCGAAGCGCCAAAAGTTTCTGTTTATGCAGTGTTTCCTTCTTCCATTGTGAGAGGGCTTGCCTCCTCTCATGTCCCCCCTCGGCGCGGCTCCGCGAGTCTGCTGTTCTGCCTGACGATGTTTTACCCACACGACCACCCTTCGGGGGATGAGGTCGGGGGTGGGGGGAAAGAACCAACTGCTTACAAATGCGATGGGTGTGATGCTGCCGATGCTGGTGACGCACCCTCGGGTTAGCGACGACGTGTGTGATGACGATGTTGCGCTGCGATGTAGTGTCACTATCGTCCCCGCTTCCCATCGCATTCAGTCGATCCCAATATCGACCTCACAGGATCGATCACACTCGCACTCGATCGATCTCACTATAGATCTCACGATCGACCTCACTATAGATCTCACTGACTACAGATCTCGCAGTCGATCTCACTTTCGATCTCACTATCGATCTCACTATCGATTCCTCAGAGTCGATCTCACAACCAATGTCACAATCAACCTCGCAGCCGATCTCACGTTCGGTCTCACTATCCATCTCATTCTAGCGATACCATCATCGATCTCACTATCGACTTAACTATCGATACCGAGACGGGACAACCCCGGTCACCGCCCGCCCACCGCCGACAGAACACTAACGGGACACCAACAGGACACCAACGAGACCACCACAGGACACCACCGCGGGACACCCTGGGCCATTGCGCGCCCACCGGGGGGGGGACGGGCGGTCCACTGCATCCGAATCGCCCTAGCGACGGCGGGGTCACCTCTCTCGCGCGCCCACGCAGCTTCGTCGCGCCCGCACGCACGACACGAACACGAAACCGAAACCGATTTCCCGGTGGGGGGCTCACCGCTCCACCGCGATCTCTCCCCCCAACCTCCGACTACCCCTGTGCTGGACCCCTCAGATACAGGCGTCACAAAGATGGTCGAGACGGCACGATTTTCGCATCGCTCGGCTTCCAGAGGCCGCTTAATTATGGACCCCGGAGCGATTCGGGATGAAGAGCTGGCCCCAGGGAACGGGTCGGGAGACCAGTGGGGGGCCAAGTATGGCATCCGGAAAATAGGACACTCGAGGAGAGGATGTACACCAACACCGATCCCGGCCAGGTTTGGTGCACATACGCTCCCCTGGGCATGCAGTGTGATGGGGGAGGAGGGGGAGGGGGAGGAGGGGGTGGAGGAGGAGGAGGAGGAGAGGAGGAGGGAGGAGGAGGAGGAGGAGCAGGAGGAGGAGGAGGAGGAGGAGGAAGAGGAGGGGGAGGAGGAAGAGGAGGAGGAAGAGAGGAGGAGGAGGAGGAGGAGAAGGAGGAGGAGGAGGAGGAGTAGGAGGAGGAGGCGTACCGCGCAGCTCCTGAGCCCCAGCATGGGCCTGGCCATGGGAGTGGCGCCAGCGCGCCGTCGGCGCGTGGCCGTGGCGCCCTGCCGCTGCCCCGCCCTGCGCCGCCTTCGTCCTCCTCCGCCTCCCCTCCTCCTCCTCTTCCTCCTGCTTCTCCTCTCTCCTCCTGCTTCTCCTCCTCCTCTCCTTCCTCCTCTCCTCCTCCTCCTCCTCTCCTCCTCCTCCTCCTCATCATCATCATCGTCCTTCTCCTCCTCCTCCTCCCCCCTCCTCCTTCTCCTCCTCCTCCTCCGCCAACAGCCGTTCTGGCCCAATGGCGATTCCATAGCGCAGCATATCGTACCCCTCTGGGTGGGCGGCGAGCGAGGGGGGGAAAGCGAGAAGGAGGTGGCCTTCTCAGGAGGCGGCGGGACTTCTCAGAGTCCCTCGCGCCTTCTGAGAGGTCTTTGCTTCGTCTTCCGGGAAAGCTTCGAAAACTTCTCAGCAGGCCAGGGGGGGGGGTCCGAGCCTTCTGAGGAGGCCCGTCCTTTCATATCTCGACTACACGCAAGAGTGACCCTTCGCCAGAGTGACCTTTGGTGCGGGCCCACTGGGCCTCGCCGATCGCCGAGTGCGATGCGATAGCAGCCGCCTTCGCGCTCGTGCCTGGTCTTCCCGCGGCCCCCAAGAAGCCGCGCACCAAAGGTCACTCTGACCCGGGGTCACTCTTGCGTGCAGTCGAGCTTCCCCCTCTTGCTCGCCGCCGACTGGTTGCGTCGCCCCCCCACCCCCCCACGTCCGCGGCGGCGCGGCAGCCCATGCTGAGGCGCACGGTCTGCTGCTGCGCTCCTCTCCTCGTGGCTGGCCGCCCTCGGAGCCACCACGCGCCCGCCGTGGCCCGGGGCGCCGCTGCGGGCGAGGACGCCACGAGCCTGCTGCAGTCCTCGCTCGAGGTGGACCCCGTGAGCCTGGGCAGCTTCGGCGCGAGCGGGCTGGGCAGGCTGGGTGCGGGCTGGCCCGGCAGGCCCACCAGGGAGAGGCGCGCCGCCGGCGGCAAGAGGCGCAGGGGCCAGAAGCAGGTCCGACGGACGAATGGGAGAGGGGTGCAAGCCGTGGGTGGGAGGGGGGGGGCATCCCTCCTCGCCTCCTCCTCCCGCTCGTGCAGCTCCCGGCGGCTGCTCATCCTGCTCCTTCCCTCCCCCCGTCCGCCCGCTCCTATCCACTCCTCCCTCTCCGGAGGAGGAGGAGAGGGATGGGGAGGAGAGGGAGGAGAGGGAGGAGGAGGAGGAGGAGGAGGAGGAGGAGGAGGCGACTTCGCGCTGGAGGCTTTGGCGGGTATGAGGTGGGTCGTCGAATCGGCCGGTCGACTTCCCCAGCAGGTTTCGGTCGTTCTGTTGGCGCTCCCGGGGAAGGCCTCCGGAGGCTTTCGGCCGATAGACGTGTTTGTGTCCTGATATTAAGTCGGGCCTGTCCCCCTACAGGGGGATTTTCAACGAAAAATAAAAAATACTCAAAAAAAAGTCTGGGGACTATTTTTGGAGTACGTTTAAACCTTTTGGGAGTATGTTTAGGGTAATTTGTGTTTTTCGTCGAAAATCCCCCTGTAGGGGGACACGCCCGACATAATCCTGATACAGACTGTGGGGCAGGGCCCGTCGCCCCCTGGCCCTTTCCGTGGGAGGTCGACAGCCCCAGAGCCTACTGGGCGGCAGGCGCCCACGGAGGAGCTGCCGACGTCGTGCGGCGTCGGGCCGTCGAGGCCGAATCTGGTGCTGCTCCTAAGCGTTTTGGGACATGGAGAACTACTACGAGAGCATGTCGCTGGAGTATTTGGAGCATCAGTGCTTGCGGCATTACTGCCATCGTTGCATCACCCGTGCGTGCCTGGAGGCCTCTCGTTCGGTTGGGTACTTGTCTCTCGGAGGTATTCTGGACGGGCCCTACTGGGCCCTCTCGGGGATCATTGCTGGCTGCTCGACGACCACGAGTTTTATCAGAATTGTCGCGATGTCTGCGTTCGACGATATTTCCATCCAAGTAGGTACAGGTTTCGATGCCTACGCTGCACCGACAACACAGGCCTGTTTCGGACAGGCACGCCTGAAGATGCGGTGTCAGGCTTAGTCGCGAGTGCGCGTGGCCTTCACAAGGCCATCACGGAAGTCTTAGGTTGCTCTGTGGCCATGGACAAGATTGGCCTCGTGAGCAGCAGCAAGCAGGTCGCCCAGCAGATTGAGCTGCACCTTGGCGCTCTGGCTGGAGAGTCGGCCCCGTCTGTGGTCAGCTTAGGTGTGGCCTACACGGCTGGGCGTGCGCTCCGTGCTCGTGGCGCTGGCAAAGGCAGGTCTAGTAGGCTGAAGGAACGTCAGGCGCTCGCAAGAAGGAAGACCCGCAGGTTGTGAAAAACATAAGGACCTCCTCGGCCGAAAACCCCTCCGCATTTTCACCGCGGGCCCTTTGGCGAGCGGCTCCTACGGAGCTGAAGAGTTTGGCATCAGCGATACCGAGCTGCATGTTTTCCGCTCCCTGGGGACGTCGACGATAGCTCCTAAGTCGCAGCACCGTTCTCTGACTGCTATCTCCTTGCTGGAAGGAGATCCGCCGTGGCGTGTTAGCATAGCTCCTCTGGCTTGCTACCCTTAGGAGTTGCGGCTGGCGCAGACTAGGCAGTTTGCGGGGCCCCTTTTCCGTCAAGTTTCTTCGTGAGGCGTGGGCCCATGTTTCTGGCAAGGATGACTGGTCTTGGGCCAAAGTTTCGGGGCCCCTCAGTGCTCTCCGGACGACCCTCTGTAGGCTCGGGTGGACCATGACGTCCTTCTGCGTGTGTGTGTGGTTGATAGGGGGCACTCCCTCAACCTCCTCATCCTCTGCCCTAAGCTTGCCGCCCAGTTGGCCAGAGCTGTTGTGCTCAGGGGGTTGGAGAGAGATTCGGGCCCCAAGTTTGGTGTTCACCATTGTCTCTGTTGGGAAACTGTTCGGGAAAAGCTTCGATCTAGGGAAGTCAGCTATCAGGACAAGTCCACCATGAGGGCCCTCGCCAGCATCGCCATTTGGACCAGCGTGGCGGCCAGGAATGCTGGCTACGACGTCCCCTCTGTCTGTGGTCTGTGCGGACAGCACGATGACACGCTCCGGCATAGGTTCTGGCAATTTCCTGCTTGTGCCGCCGAGCGTGGGCGCCTCGTTCCCGACGATATGCTTGAGCTGGCCTTGGACACTGAAGCAGAGCAGTATGAGTGTACCTTGTTCGTGCACGGAGCCTTCCGGCACCCAGGGGATGATTTGCCCAAGCCCTCGGCGGACGGCGTGGTTCATGTGGAGTGGTCTGTTCCCGGGGCGCTGCCCCCTTGAAGCCCAGGCCCTGTTTAAGACTCATCCTGATCTCGGTCGCTGGGTTCATGTTTTCCTGGATGGCAGTTGTTTCAAACACCCAGTGGTTGAGCTTTCCCGTTTTGGTTGGTGCCTGGTCATGGCGGATGAACATGCCACCTGGCATCGGTCGGACGTGTGCATTTTTCCCTGGCGAGAGCCATTGACGACGATCCTGAACCATCGAGCAAAACAAAAATGCACGAAACCGAAACATGTACAGGAAATGGACGTCCGAGCGATGGCGAGGCCAACTTGCTGTGTGAAGTCACAGCCCCTGTCTGGGCCCCCATTACCCTCAGACCCCCCAGGCTGCGGAGTGCTGGGCGCTTGGGGGTCTGAGTTTTTCTTTGGAGGCTGGTGTTGGGTGCTTCAGCGCCTGCAGGAATGTCGTGGACCAGTTTCTCCTAGGCCCTGGCAGGTTTTTGTCGCCCAGGCTCCCGTATCTGGGGCTTCTAATTCATGGGGCTTCGGGGGCTGGTTCGAAGATAACCAGCCTTACCAAGGTAGATGCTCACAAGGATCTTGATGAGCAAGGTATCGCCGCCCATGCAATATTCATCAGGCGTGGCACTTATTTCGCGGATTTGGGGGTTAAGCGTGCTGTCGACCGGCGCCCCAAATTTTCGGCAGATGATATGGAATCGGTAGATTTAAAGGTCAAGATATCCAGGTGTGTCATGGACCTTGCTGTTGCCGTGCTTCCCCTCGTTCCTCGGGTGGAGTTTCGGGGGTTGGAGCGGGTTTCTCCTCCTCCTGCGCCTCCTGCTGAAAGACGAGACCCTCATCAACGGGCCCGTATGTCTGGTTCTCGGCGTTGCAGAGTGTGCCTCAACGGTTCGATCAGCGCCTCTTGTCCAGCTGAGTGCTCGTGTCGTGGCCACAGCAAGGACAGTGTTGTTTTGGATCGGCTCTGGCACCGCGTCCTTGCTCTCGAGGCAAGTGACAATTCGCATGTTTTCTTTTGTCTCATGTGTCTGTCGTATTCCTCTGGTGCTCAGGTGAGTAACCTGGGCAAAATGTGTAAACCTCCGACGACTGCGGACAACCGAAGCTGGACCAATATCAGGCGAAGGAAGCACCCTGATAAAGCAGGAGTGAGTCTCAATCTCGACCTTGTCAAACCTTTATTCCAGAAAAGTTTTCGCGCTGCTGCAGGTCTCAGCCTCCAGTCTGGAGGAGGAGGAGGAAGAGGAGGAGGAGGAGCAGGAAGAGGATGAGGAGGAGGAGGAGGAGGAGGAGGAGGAGGGGGAGGAGGAGGAGGAGGATGAGAGGGAGGAGAAGGAGGAGGAGCAGGCGGAGGAGGAGAAGGAGGAGGAGGAGCAGGATGAGGAGGTCCCCCTCATTTCCCCCTGCCTTCCTTTGGCCCCCCCCCCCATCCCTCCGCGCCCCCGCCAGCCTGCAATGGGTGGGGAGGCAGGAGGGGGAAGGGAGAAGGTGCTCTCCGAGGGGGCCGGGACGGGCCGCTTGCCTCTCCCCCGCCCTTGTCCCTCCTCCTCCTCCCCCTCCTCCTCCGCCTCCTCCTCCTCCGCCTCCGCCTCTTCCTCCTCCTCAAAGACTGAAGTTGGCCCGCACGCTTTAGTCGCATGGATTTCTTCTCCAGCTGGCAAGTCTCTGGAGTCGTGTGGACCCCCGGGGGACTTCGGAAACTTCTGGGCAGCCTCCACCCAGGACGATCCTCCAGCCCCATTCCTCGGCCACGCGCAGAGGGGGGTAATTGGGGGGAGGGGGGAAGGCTTCTTAGAAGCACCCCTGCTTCTCAGAAGGCGCGGGCCTTCTGAATGGTGTAAGGCCCGCGCCCTGTTGGAAGCAGCCTCCTTCTAAGAAGCCTCTCCCCCTCCCACATACCCCCCCGTGCGTGCCGTCAAATTCCGTCGGCCTGCAGGTGGAGAGCAGGGAGAGTCGTCCCGATTTCGATTGCCAGTCGCAGCCGTACCAGTGCGAGGAGCCGTTCAATTGCAACAAGGACAGGCGCTCGGAGAGATTCCCCCGGGCCCCGACAGGCAATGATGAGCATTTCCTTTTGTTGCACCTCTCCTTACAGTTTGTTATGGTTGACTCGTTCTGCACCGTAGGTAGAGCGATTGCAAGCGGGGCTTGCTGACTTTGGGGGGTCGTCTTGAAACAGCCGTCTTTGGACGCGCACTGTAAATAGGTCACACGCTGCCGGCTTCTGGTTTGGCTTGTTGTGACCAATGTTCATTCCACCCCGAAACCAATTCACCACAGGACCTCGGAGGTGCCCACCTTTGGACCTGGGACGCACCATCCTCGATCGGGCAGGCTCGGGAGCCGCGTTGATGGCAGGCCTTCCAGTTGTCCAGGGGCATGTCTGGGGATGTGTCAGGTGACGTGCGACCCAGTGACTGGGAACGGACCTGCGGACATGTCATGGGGGGTTCTGAGCCGTGTCTGTGAACACTGCTGGGACCGTGAACTGGGAACGTGTCTGGGAATATGCCTAGAGGCGTGTCTGTGGTCGTGCCTGTGGCCGTGTAAGGATACGTCCGTGGGGCTGGGCCTGGGACGCACAATTGACTGGACTTGGGACTCACCTTCCTCGAGCGGGCGCGTCTAGAATGCACCTGGAGGAGTCCTGAGGCGAATCATGGTCTGGACTGGAACGGGCGATCACCCTCGAGGTGTGCCTGAAAGCATCTTGATTCGCATCATTGTCCGAGCGGGCACGCACGGGATACACCTGCCACCTCTTTCCGAACCTGGGGCACATTACTCTCGAGATGCATTTGAAACCGTCTTGGGATGCACCTTTTGTTTCTGGACTTGGGTCTCACCACCCTCGCGCGGGCACGCACGGCGTGTGGACCACGCGGTCAGATCTGTATTTGGGCGACGGGATTTGGTGACCCCCAAGACGGGTCCCGCGGTGAGAAATATTGGGATGCATTCGAAGATTCGCATGCACTCCCAGCATTCGCTGTCAGGGAAGTGGTGGTGCGGGGAGGAGTGCGATGGAGAAGAAAGCCGAGGAAGAGGGAGGCGGGATATGGGATGGGGGACGAGGGGGACGAGGAGAGGCGAGGAGGCGAGGAGGAAGGCGAGGAGACGAGGGGGACGAGGGGGGCGAGGAGGCGAGGGGGGCGAGGAAGGAGAGGGTGCCTTCTCTCGGCGCCCTGCGCCGAGGACCCGGGGCGGCCAGGGGCACGGCCGCAGCCCTGGCACGCCAGGCACCGCGGCGCGCCCCCTTCTGGTGGACGGGGGCCCTCTGGACCCCGGCGCCTCCTGCGGGGGACCCGCCCTTCGCCCGGCCGGCCCCTTCTTTCTGGCGCCCCGGGAGAATCAGGAGGGAAAGAAACACACAGACGCAATTCGTCCCCGACTCCCCAGAGAATATGGGAAGATATGGGAAGTGGGGGGAAGACACAAATCCAGAAGATATAGGGGAAATATAGGGAATCCTGCTATTCGTTTGTGTGTGCGTGTGTGTGTGTGTGTGCGTGTGTGTTTAGTTGTGTGTCCCAGGGCCCCTTCAGGGAAGCCCGGGGGAGCCCGCAGGCGGCGGGCGAACTCTGGTGACGCTTCTCGAAGCGGAGAAAGACGGCATGAACATGCACCTGTGGCGCTCCGCGCGGATCTCTTTAGGGGGCCACATGCGAACCCTACCCCTACCCCCCCCTCAGAAATCGTGGGGGGTAGGGGTAGGGTTCGCATGTGGCCCCCTATTCTTGGATCCGCGCTGGGGCGGCCCCAGCGGCGCCTCTGGCGCCGCCCGTGGCGCGCTCACTTCGCCAGGGAGGGGGGCCCAGCGCGGATTCAAGAAGTCCGCGCGGAGCGCCACAGGTGCATGTCTATGGCGCCGTTCCTCCTTCTGGCCTGAGGGCCCCTTCCTGGACATCCGACGCCGTGTTTGTGCCCGGCCTGGCTCCCGCCGAGTCCCGCCCGTGGCCCGACTGGCGCCTGCACCCGCTCCGGCTCGCCCGCGCCCTCCGACTCACAGGAGAAGTTGGCGCTTGGTCCGTGGCCCCGGAGCTCCCCGCCGCTTCCCCTGGGGGGGACTCCGTTTCTCATCCCGGATGGCTGTGTGCTGGCTTTTTGGCCCAGACTCGACCACGCGCAGAGGTCGACTGGACGTAAGAGCGGCCTTTCGCCATAGTGACCTCTGGTGCGGGCCCAATGGGGCCCCCCGATCGCCGATCGCGGTGCGTCAGCAGCGGCTTGCGCGCTCGTGTTTGGTCCTTCGCGGCCCCCGAAAAGCCGCGCACCAAAGGTCATTCTTACCCAGGGTCGCTCTTGCGTGTAGTCGAAGAGGGGGGAGGGAGGAGGAGGGCTTTTGAGAAACACCCCTGCTTCTTCGAAGGTGCTGGCCTTCTCAATAGATGTGGGGCCGCCGCCTTCTAACAAGCAGCCTCCTTCTGAGAAGCCTCCCCCCCTCCCCCTTTACCCCGTTTGTGCGCGCCGCCGACAGAAGCAGCCACAGGAGGCGGAAACCGAGGAAAGAACGCTGGGTCAGAAACAAAACAGACAGGGACCCTGGGAGCCCGACGGGGGCGGAAGAAGCCATGATCCTCTCCGTTTTCGTGGAGCCCCGTACCTTCATGGCGTGCGGCTCTTCCTGGCACGACGACGACGACGACGACGACGACGACGACGACGACGACGACGACGACGGCGGCGACGGCGACGACGACGACGACGACGACGACGAACGCCCCAGATGTCTGGACCCCTTCGGGCCCTTCCTGGGGCGCAGCTTCTCGTCGCGGGTCTACGTTCCAGGGCCTCGGAGCCCGACGGGGGCCCCCAGAGGCCGACCTCGGGGAGAGAAGCCTCGATCCGCCGAGATCGTGCTCCGAGCCCCGACGGAGCGGCGGCCGCGGCGGCGACGACGGGGCCTGCCCCGGGAGGAGCCGGCAGACGCGGAGCTGCAGCGGGAGCAGATCGCCACCTCGGACGGGCACGCGGATTACTCCGCCTGGTGCGGCTCGCCCTACATGGCCGCCGCCAAGGACGGGCGGGCGGCCGTCCGCTCCGGCTCTCACCGCCCACCAGGCCGCCCCAACCCGACCCGAAGGCCCCGCTCTGCTTTCCACTCCCAGTGTGGGGGGGGGGCTCGCCGGGGAACATGGAAGAAACACATGTGGACCCCCCCAACGAACCCGATTTGGGGGTCTTCGGGTTTCAAGCAGTGGCGAAGCGTCCTGGCTCGCCGATAGACCTACCAAACAATGTTCTAAGAACCTGATGTGGTTTCCACGAAAATGTTCTCAGAACTTTTCTGGCGGAGTCTGTCTTGTTTTATCACAGCGGGCTTATGTTCTAAGAACATTGTTTTTGTTTTTCGAACAGTTTGTGGGTTCTAAGAACATTTCCGTGGCAGGACTATAGGAATGCCGGGACGGTCGGTCCCTGCTCAAGGGTTGGGTTGGGTTCGAGGGGCGGGGACCGGCAAGAACAGGGCGTCTCGGGGTCGGCGCTGGCCACCTGGCTGGCACGGAGTGCAGCGCCGACCCAAGAAGTCCGCGCGGGCGTCCAAGAGCTTCTGCTCATAGCATTATGTTTGTGGACGCACGCCCGGGCTTCACTGCACTCCTCTAGCGCGGCTTTAGCCATGCTGATTGCCAGGCACCTTTGACCGTCAATCTTAAGCGTTCATGACCCTGCTGGAGCCGAGCCAAACCAGCAGCAATGGCTCGGGCGTCCGCCGGAGGCGCGATGTGGCATGCGGCGGTGGCCGCGATGGCTCCCCACCGTACCCCGAGCGGCGCAATATTCAGCACGTTGTGGACCCCCCGCAGGTTCAGGTTCACGAACACGCGAGCTCCTCCTACTCCTCCTCCTCCTCCTCCTCCTCCTCCTCCTCCTCCTCCTCCTCCTCCTCCTCCTCCTGCTCCTCCTTCGTGCCCACTCCTCCGCCTCGGGCTTGGCCTTCCTGTGCAATATCCCGCGTGTGACCTCACCCGGGAAAATGCCAGTCTAGCTACTGCCCTCAGCTTCTATGTATACCACGTGGCCAAAGATATGGTCTCTCATCAAGACGGGCGCCTTTTAACTCTGCCCCAACAGCTAGATGCCCTCCAAGCGGCGCTAGCAAAGATGCCCAACAATTATCGATTCTTCCGCCGCCGCCTGGATCGGCTAGGCCTTACCCCTGGCTGAAGCCCACGAGGCGTTGAGTGCCCTGAGACCCGTGGACTCGTGGGGTACTGGCGCTCCTCCTGCTCCTCCTCCTCCTGCTCCTCCTCCTCCTCCTCCTCATCCTCCTCATCCCCTCCCCCCCCTCCCCTCCCCCTGACAAGTCGACGGTGGAAAGTTGCATGGGTCACCCCAGTCGGTTCCGCTCATCAACGTGCGCTTCGCCTGAGACACCCGGCTGTTTCTGGGCATCCCTTAGCTATCCCGTTGGGGTCTGCCGGGTATGCGGAGACGTGCGCACGTGAGGTGCCCTTGGCAGGGCAGCTTTCACAGAAGGGCGTGTTGCTAAATGGAAGGCGGGGAAGGGCTCAATCTTCGAGGGGACGGGGAGGAAGAGGAGGAGGAGAAGGAGGAGGAGGAGGAGGAGAAGGAATGAGGAGCGAGGAGCGAGGAGGACGAGGAGGAGGAGCAGGAGGAGGAGGAGGAGGAGGAGGAGGAGGGGGAGGAGGAGGAGGAGGAGGAGGAGGAGGAGGAGGAGGAGGAGGACGAGGAGGGACGAGGGAGGACGAGGAGGACGAGGAGGACGAGGAACGAGGAGAGGAAGATTGAGGGTGGGAGAGAGAAGAAGGGGGAAGGAGGGAGAAGGAGGAGAGGAGGAGGAGGAGGAGGAGGAGGAGGAGAGACGGAGGAGGAGAAGGCGGTGGAGGAGGAGGAGGAGGAGGAGGAGGAGGAGGAGGAGGAGGAGGAGGAGGAGGAGGAGGAGGAGGAGGAGGAGGAGGAGGAGGAGGAGGAGGAGGAGGAGGAGGAGGAGGAGGAGGAGGAGGAGGAGGAGGAGGACGGAGGAGGAGGAGGAGGAGGAGGAGGAGGAGGAGGAGGGGAGGAGGAGGAGGGAGGAGAGGAGGAGGAGGAGGAGGAGGAGGAGGAGGAGGAGGAGGAGGAGGAGGAGGAGGAGGAGGAGGAGGAGGAAGGGAGGAGGAGGAGGAGGAGAGGAGGAGGAGGAGGAGGAGGAGGAGGAGGAGGAGGAGGAGGAAGGAGGAGAAGCAGGAGGAGGAGGAGGAGGAGGCGGAGGAGGAGGAGGAGGGAGGAGGAGGAGCAGGAGGAGGCAGGAGAGGAGGAGGAGGAGGGAGGAGGAGGAGGCAGGAGGGGGAGGAGGAGGAGGAGAGGAGGAGGAGGAGAGGAGGGAGGCAGGAGGGGGAGGAGGAGGAGGAGGAGGAGGAGGAGGAGGAGGAGGAGGCGGAGGAGGAGGAGGAGGAGGAGAAAGAGGAGGAGGAGGAGGAGGAGGAGGAGGAGGAGGAGGAAGAGAAGAAGAAGGAGGAGGAGGAGGAGGAGGAGGAGGAGGAGGGGGGGGTTACGGGGTGGAGCGTCAATCTTCGAGGATAGGCAGGCACGGGCGCAGCGGCGCCGACGAGGGCCTCCCGCCCCTCTCGAGCGGTCCTCGCCCTCCTCGTCCTTGCCGACCACGGCATCCCGACTTGCGCGCCCACGACGGCCACGACAGAGACCACGACCAAGGCGGCGACCGAGGCGGCGGCGGCCCCTGGAGGCCTCGCGCGGTCTCCCGAGATCCCCGGAGCTTTTCTCAGACCTTTTTCTCGGTTGGGCGCGAATTCATGGGGGGGCGATAAAGAGGGGGGGAGGGAAAGGTGCCCATTTAGGGGCCCCCAAGGGCTCCTTTTCGGCAGCCCCAGCTGCCCCGCCATGCATCGCCCCCCATTTCTGGCCGCCCAGGTCGGGCCCTCCCGGAGCGCACCTCGTGGCCACGGGTTCGCGCGCGCCCGAAAGACCGGCCAGGGCAGGAAGGCTTCTCGGAAGGCGGGAGGGGTTCTAAGAATCTGGGGCTCCCGGATGGGGTCCGAGCAGATGAGGTCAGAGAATCGCGCCGCATCGCCGGTGCATCGGCAATGCGGCTCGATGCGGAGCCCCAACTTTCTCCACGTCGATGTCGGCGACACATCGCCGACATCGGCGATGCATCGGCGATGCATTGGCGATGCGGCGCGATCCTCCGAACCCATCCGCCTGGATCCCATCTAGGATCCAGGAGGCTTCTGAAGAGGCACCCTGCCTTCTTGGAAGGCCCCATCCCCCTTCGCGCCAGTGCCTTCGGCGCGCCGCCGAGGGGAAGGGGAAGCGAGGAGGAACGGAGGCCCGCATCCCTCTCCTGCAGCCTCCTGTGCCTGGAGCCGCCACGAGGAGTGCTCCAGCAGGAACATGACCGCATACGGCAGCATCATGCACAGCATCCAGGTCTCGGAGGGACGCAAACAATACACCACCACCAGCCCTGGCCAGGTCCATCCTGGGCCCTGGTCCGGTGTACAGGCCTCCAGGGCTAGACCAGGAGGGCCTGTACACGAGTCCAGGGCCCAGGATGGACCTGGCCAGGGCTGGTGGCGGTGTGTTGTTTGGAGCTCTCCTAAGGTCAAGCTCAGCATGGGAGGCAGAGGCATCGAAAGCATGGACGCGCACTACTGCTTCTCCGTCGGGCACTGCGACAACGACGAGGTGACGGACGGGACCACCCTGCCAGAGGCAGAGGCCATGTGCGACAGGAGATTCGGCCGCGACCAGTGGACCTCCCTGACCTTCGACGAGGCGATGAAGAATCTGGCCTTCTGGCCGGAAGGCGACCTGCACCTGGGTTCTGACTCGAGCTTGTACTTGGGTGTGGAGGCCGAGCAATCGTTCGCAAAGATGTCCTGCGCCATGGGCTCGTTCCACTGCGACGTGATCTACTGCCGTCAGGAATACTGCAGCCAGCCCCAGTTTGCGGACAAGTACAACTACCTCCGGCGCAGCTCAGGCTTGCTGGGGACAAGAGGCAATATTCAGGAGGGGGAAAAACACAGACAAAATTAATCTTCCACTCCCAGGAAAATGTGGGAAAATGTGGGAAGTGGGGGGGAAGACAAAAACCCAGAAAATGTATGGAAAATATGGGGAATCCTTTTATTTGTGTGTATGTATCTGTGTGTTCCAGGGCCTCCTCATACATGACGCCTGATCCTTGTGTACAGGAGGGCAGGTGGCGGGTACGGCCTGCTCTGCTGGGTACCACCCCGCAGGGTCCCCTGGGCTTGTTCTGCGTCACGTACCGTGTTTGCGCGTGCGTTGCGTTGGTTGTGCGCGTTTTCTCTCTGACTTTGCCTTCACGGGTAATCCGATGCTAAGGTATACAATGACATACAATGATTCGCGGTGCCGTGCTTCGCAATGGTATGCCATGCTATGGTATGACTTGATAACCCATGATATTCCATGCAAGGCTGTCTTGTACTATCCGACGCTGTACCAGAATTTGCTACACAATGCAACGCTGCGCTATGTTACAATGTACTGTGCAATGGTGTCTGTGTGTGTCGATACGCCATGCTGTTCTATAGAATACTCGCACTGCTATGTTTGGCTGTTCTATACACGGGAATACTGTTTCATGTCACGTTACGAAACAATGCACTGCAGAACACAACGCTGTAACAAACCTCATGTTCCTAGTGTCGGTTGCGCGGGGGTCATTGTATTGCAGTATTGCTGTGCAATCCTGCGCAAGCAAGTTGAACATAACAGGACTGCACGATGAGAACGCTTCAGAGTCAATTAACGAAGAGAGGAACAGACATGAGGAGCGCAGGCGTGCTGGAAAGGCGGGGCGCCAGCAGCATGCACTGAGGCTGGCGAGGAGAAGAATGTCTGCGGTTTGAGCTGTGACATTTGCAGCTCCTGGTGCAGGAGACCTCTTCTCATCTTGTAGCCCAGTTCCAGTAGATTGTACAGCGTGGAGTTGTGACTACAGTTGGCTGCTGAATTGTTGGATCAGCAGCCAGCTCGGACCAGAGAGCAGCTGAATGATGCTAGCTAGCGCGAGGCGCTAGCCGAGTCCTCAGTCGCTGCCAAGACAAAAAGTGTGGCACCTGACAGCTCCAGACCTGGACAGGAAGAGGACGATGATAATGGGGGAGGAGGAGCAGGAGGCGGGGAGGATCGTTCTTCGACGAACACTTGGCGCTAGGCGAGCCCCGCTGAGGACAGGAGGAGGGAGGAGAGAGGGCGGGGAGGAAGGGATGGAAGTGGGAGCAGGAAGGACGGTGGAAGCAAGGTGGCACGAACCGCCGCAGCCGCATGCGCCCATGGGTCAGCGGCGCCAAACCAGGGGGGGGTCGTGGCCGCCACGAATCTGAAGACGACCCATCTCGCTATGATGCTCAGCCACCCTTACATCGGGAGGGATTCGAGTCGGCCAGAAGTTCCGCACAGTGGTCAGCAGAAGACCCGTCACCAGGAGGCCCGTGCACGGGACGGCGAGAATCCGAAGGCTCTCATCGGCAGGGCCGTGTGGAGCTGCATCACCTCGGCCAGCAGCTCGGTCCCCCAACACTTGGGCCAGAGCAAGCAAGCAAGAAGTCATACTGTACACCTGGAGGTGCGTAGGACACGAGTGTGGAAACATGTTGAACATGAGCATCAACAATATACAAATGATAGTGGATATCCCCAAACACAATGTGTTTGAGGTTATGGTGCTATAGGACTACAGGGCTATGGCGCTATAAGGCTCGGGGGCTATAAGGCTATCGGGCTATAGGGCTATAGGACTATAGGGTTATAGGGCTATAGGGCTATAGGGCTACGAGGCTATCAGGCTATAGGACTGTAAGGCTATAGGGCTATTAGATTTATAGGGCTATAAGGCTATAGGGCTATAAGGCTATAAGGCTACAGGGCTATAGGGCTATAGGGCTATAGAGCTACGAGGCTATCAGGCTATAGGGCTGTAAGGCTATAGGGCTATTAGGTTTATAGGGCTATAAGGCTATAGGGCTATAAGGCTATAAGGCTACAGGGCTATAGGGCTATGGGGCTACCGGGCACCCCGGCACCTGGGTACCCAGGCACCTGGGCACCTGGGCACCCGGTCACCTGGGCACCCGGGCACCCGCGCACACGGGCGGCACCCGGGCATCCGGGCACCCGGGCGTGCCGCCGAAATCGGCGCCACAGCTAACCTGACCATATGAATCCGCTAGGACCCCTACAGAGGCAGGCTCTGATTGGGGAATAATTCTGCACTATAGCTGCAATTGCGCCGTGCGCACACAGTGCCGCCAAGAGGCCTCATTCGTCAGAGGTGTGATTACGTTTGCCATGCCGTTCGCTGCCGCATTCGCCATGCGCAGCACCTGAGTTGTCCAGTCTGCACGCGGTCTACCAACTTTCCTCACGTACCTCTCAGAGGTTGGCCGGAAGGATTTCGGACAGGACGCGGCTTCTCTCAGCGGGCTCCCTTCTGGTGCCCTTGCTGCCTTTCCCAGTAGGAGGAGCTGCTGCCTTGCCACGGCGTCCGTCAGAGGGGCCTGCCCTGTCTCGCGAAGAACTGTAGCGTTATTCACTCTTGACATGAAGGCGGGCGCGATCGCCCAGATAGAGCGGAGGCACCGGCAATGGAAACCATCCAATCGCCTACGCCCAGCAGCGCTGAGCCACAAAAAAGACAAAGCATATGTCAATTTGCTGAGAATAACGGTCTTGTATATCTCAACTGTTCTGCGCCGACTCAAATTCGAATGTCTCCATTTCTTTGAAAGTTTATTGAAATCGGCCCGCGCAGCGCCCAACCGGCGAGAGAGCTCCTTGTTTGCATCTCCCGCGTCAGAGATCACAGCGCCCAGGTATATTATATACGGCTGCGCTGGTATGACGTCCACATGCACGTTTCGGCTTTTGTTTCCGCACCGGACCTTCAAGAGGTGGAACTTGTCTGGGAGAAGTTCCATGCCATGAGATCTCCCAGCGCGTTGCACAGCCAATAATAGCGTTTCCACTACTCGCGTTGTTCTTCCTAAGGTCCCTGTGCCATCATCGTTAAGCAAAACGGAAAGAGACCCTCGATCCCATGATTCCCGGCCTGAGTCAGTCAGTTGCGAAGCCGTTTGCTCGATGATGATTGTCATCGTCATTACGAATAACAGTGGTGACAGCGGGCAACCTTGCGAAATCCTTGACGCCTGCGGTCTCGAAGACGTCGCACCGCAGTCCCACACCTCAAACCACCGGTCCGTACACAACATCTCACATATAATGTCCAACCCACGTTCTAGCAGGCCGAAGCGACATAATTCACATATGGCAGAAGGATCGATCCAATCAAAATCCTTTTTCCAATCAAGGGCCAGCGCATACAAGTTTCCGACGGATCCTCCCAACTCCAAGACAATTCGTCTACTCAGTGCAGAAATGGCCTCTTGAGTCCCGCTTTTCGATCTGAACCCGAATTGAGATTCCGCAAGCCTGGCTGGCTTCTGCACCGCTGTCCACCAGGCGCCAGTGCAGCAGGGACGCAAAGACTTCGTACCCAATGACGAGGAGACTGATTGGACGATAGTTGCTGGATCGTCGTAACCTTTGCTTTGTGCCATCCTTGCGGGACCCGTCGGCTTTGCCAGCAATAGTTGACAAAGCCTGTGATTTGTTGGAGTGCGTCGTGACTGTCCGCGAGTACCTTCCAATATCTTGGCGGGGTTCCGTCTGGCCCCAGCGCCTTGCCTGGGTGCAAATGCCGCAAGCAATTCTTGACTTCGTCCACCGCGAACTTGGATAGGTTGACAGGCAGCGTGTCTCCGAGCGCCGGCGCGTCGATGACATCGGCCCGCCTGACTCCCCATCGTACTTTTCCCCAGTATGTTGCCATTGTGTCCGCCCGTGCCTCGCTGCTCACCATTTCCGCATCCAGATTTCGCAGCCTTCCACGCTTGGCTGGCCGGGGGGGGCGGAAATGCTTCCAGCCATTTGGTTTTGTTTTGACTTGCGGACTTCCGCACGGCCTTGAACATTTTTTTCTCGCGCCCGGCGTCTCAATCGAGTCTCCTCCGTGGGCCAGAGCAGTTCCCAAACGAGGAGGAGGAGGAGGAGGAGGAGGAGGAGGAGGAGGGGGGACGAGGACGAGGACGAAGGGGGGGCAGGAGGAGGAGAAGGAGGAGGAGGAGGAGGACGAGGAAGCGCAGGCGGAGGCGGACGAGGAGGAGGAGGAGGAGGAGGAGCAGGAGGAGGAGGAGTTGGAGGTGAAGGAAAAGGAGAAGGGCGAGGAGAGGAGGGGAGGGAGGAGGAGCGGAGAAATAGAAGAGGAGGAGGAGGAGGAGATGAGGAGGACGAGGGAGGATGACGAGGGAGGGGGGGAGGGGAGAAGGAGGAGATGAAGGAGGAGATGAAGGAGGAAGAGAAGGGCCCACAGCCGCCGTGGTCGCGGCCAGCACCCCCGCGCAGCCACCGCCACGCGGCCCTAGGCCGAAGACCGCACGGCCATCAGAAGCCTCTGCTTGTGGCCGAGGTCCCACTAACCGCCTGGGCCGAGGCTCTCCGCCGGACCCTGGCCAGGCCATCCCCCGGGACGCCAGCCGCGCCATTTGAGGAGCGTTGGAGGAGGGATTATGAGATGTTGAAGCAGGAGAAGGAGGAAGAGGAGCAGGAGGAGGAGGAGGAGGAGGAGGGAAGGGGTCAGGGAAGATAGATCAGGAGGGAGGAAGGGGACGAGGAGGGACGGGCGAGGAGAAGGAGGTGGGAGGAGGGAGGAGGAGGATGGGAGGAGGAAGGAAGGAGGAGGGGAGGAAGGAAGGAGGGAGGGGAGGAGGGAGGGAGGAGGAGCAGGGAGGAGGGAGGGAGGGAGGGAAGGGAAGTGGACGAGGAGGGACGGGCGAGGAGGGGAGGGCAGGGAGGGGAGGAGGGGAGGGGAGGGGAGGGGCAGGGCAGGGGAGGGAGGGAGGAGGGAGGGAGGGAAAAGAGGAGGGAGGGAGCGAGGGAGGGAGGGAGGGA